ACCTACAGTATCAGTACTTGGGAGGCTAAGGCAGGAAGATTCCCACAAGCTTGAGACCAGCCTGAGGTAGATAGTGAGTTCCAGGCCAGCCTAAGAGGAGGGGAAGAGGAGGGGAAACGCTCACTTGTTTGGCATGTGCGAGGCCCTGAGGTCGATGCCAGCAGTGTGGGCATGTATATGGGGAAGATAGCGGGATAATTAACACAGTACCGTCCACAGTGCATCTAGTGTATTGGTATGGAGTATAACCAAACAGGTAATAACCTCTAGTGTTCTGGGCAGAAGAGCATAGCCAGCATAAATACAAGGATTTTCCATGTTAGCTAGATGAACTCACAAATTACTGTCTAGTCATTCAATTAACTTTTTTCAGTTAATGTTGATTAAATGCATCATACTATATAAAAGCCTCTAGAGACATAATTCAAGACCCCACCCTGAACACCCTACATCGAGACAAAGTCTAGGGCCGGGGAGATAGCTAAGTGCTTGCCTGGCAAGCAGAAGGTCCTGAGTTTGATCCCTGATACCGCAAAATAAATAAATAAATAAGGTGTAATCTTACCATTTTAGCTTTTGCACACTAAAAATTATGTGTGAAAAACATAGCCCGCATCTTAATATATATCTCTGTCTAAAAAGAACCTGTACCCTATTTTTTTATGTACTTCTATCACTGTCCAAAAGGCAAGGTAAGTTCAGTCCCCAGTTCCGCAAAAAAAAAAAAAAAAGCCAGGTAGGTCTCAGAATGCTGAATCACAGATACACACGAGGGATGCACGAGCCACAGCCAATTCCACACAAGCAGAAGGTTGATAGGGCCAGGCTTGGGGCACCGCACCTGCAACCCTGCTACTCAAAGGCTGAGATTTAGGGGCAGCTTGGGCAATTTAGGGAGATGCAGTCTCAGAATAAAATATTCAGTGACAGAGAGCTTCCCTAGCTAGTATAAGGCCCTGGGCCCTGGATTCCAACCCCCAGTACTAGAAAATAAAAGGGGGGGGGTGACATAAAAACAAACAAAAAGGTATTATGTTTCAATTATCAGCATTTGCAGATACAAAGAGAATAATAAGCTGAGCTAAGGACAGCAGAAGATATATTTTTTTTCCCTGTTGATTGAAACATAACTCTAACTGGGCATGGTGGTGCATATCTGTAACCCCAGTACTCTGGGAGGCTGGGGCAAGAGGAGTTCAAGTTTGACCCTAGCCATGGCAACTTACAGAGGCCCTGTCAAAATAAAATGAAATGAAATGGACTGACAATGCAGATCAGTGGTTAAAGTCCCCCTGGTCTCAATCCTAGTGACACAAAAGAAACAAACTTCTCTAAAAAGTGACATAGGTCCAGCAAGATATCTCAGCTGTTTGAAGCGCCTGCTCAGGCAAGCTTAGGCAATGTGCACAGGGAGCACTGTCCGATCCCCTGCACCACAGACTCCAGGGTAGGCTGAGCTGGCCAGAGGGAAGAAAACAAAGTTACATAAATAGGGCCAGGAGGGGAGATGGTTCAGTAGAATAAGCCTTTGGCTGGCAATTGCAAGGGTCTGAGTTCAATCTCTGGTTCTGCCATAAATAAATAAATAAGGCCAGGCCACACCTACATGGAAGAGTCTTTACCCAGCATTCAAAGGCTCTGGTTTTAAACTCCAGAAGGACAGGGTGAGGAGATAGGAACAGACTTATACTAACATAATAAACGGGTAAAGCAGTGGCCATTTGCTAGAAGATTCACACAGAAAACATGCCAGGGCTTCCCTCCCTGGGGCATATCACAGGCAGTGTGCAGGAGGAGGTACTTGAGTGATCCAGGCTGAAGCTGGGTCCTTGTGCATTTTAAGTGCCTCTCTGCCTCTGAGCTATCTGCACACATATTGGCACAACCACAGTGTTTGGGAACATCTACAGAAGCTGAAGACAGGGGCCGCAGAGATGGCTCAGTGGAATAAGTGCTTCCTTGGAGAGCACAAAGGCCTGAGTTCAATCCCAGTTTCGCCCAAAAAAAAAAAAAAAAAAAGAAGAAGCTGAAGACATACATATTTTAGGGTTCAGCAATTCCTCTCTGAGGCATATATGCAACAGCACACGCACCTTCACCAATAGACATGTATAACATGTCATTAAGAATAAATACACTGTGGTATATACATACAATGTATTATACTGTACTGATGATGAATACTAAGCCAAAACAACAATAACACACAGAAACAAGAGTATCAAGTTGGTCCTTGCGCCGGGGAGATGGCTCAGTGGAATAAGTGCTTCCCTGGCAAGCGCAAAGGACTGAGTTCAATCCCTGGTTCCACCAAAAAAAAAAACAAGTTGGTCCTTGCTTTCTTAGAATGCATTTCTCTCAGACACTTTATGCCCATGCCAGGAGGGCATCTATCCACCTCCTGAGTGCAGGACAGTGATGTCCAAAGAAATGCTCTAGGGACTCTTTTTTTTTTTTTTTTTTTGCAGAACCGGGGATTGAACTCAGGCCTTTGTGCTTGCCAGGGAAGCGCTTATTCCACTGAGCCATCTCCCCGGCCCCTATAGGGACTCTTGAGGGGAAGGGTGGGGGTTAAGAACGAGCAAGAGAGGGCCCACCAAATAGCTCAGCGGATTAAAGCCCTGCTCAGGCAGACACAGGGGCTGGGATTTCAATCCCCAGGCCTGCAGTGCAGGCACCTGCCCCACCCCTGGAGCGCGCTGAGCCAGCAATGGAGACTAGGCATGGTGGCACGGCCTGTAATCCCAGCACTTAGGAGGCTGTAAACAGGAGAATCACTATGAGTCCAATCTACACAGTGAGACCCTGTACACCCAAGAACAAGAGAAAAACAAAACAAAACAAGCAAGAACAAAAAAGAGAACAAGTAACTTGGAACACACCAACAACGTACAGGGACAATCACTACTCTCCCCGTACAGCAACTCTCCATGCATGAGTAGCACAAACACTTTCAACAGAGAAATGTGGTACCAGAAAATTATTACTCTGAGAATGGTTGAAGCCAGCTGTGGTGGCTTATTGAGGGCTGGCTGGGACATGGCTTGGTGCTTCCAATTCCAAAAGAGGGGAGAAAAAAAAAAGCTGAAGTTCCTTTCCAGCCAAATTTGAGATAATTAGAACCTCAAATCTGATAGCAAGATATCTGGAATAATTCATGCTTGGCATTTGAAAGGCCTTGGGGTTCCATCCCTACCACTTCCCCCCACAAAAGAAATGTTAATACGGGATTATAGTCCATTGAATATAATAAAAAGTCATGGGTTCAGATTGAAAGATAATCAAGTAGGTAAATAAGAGCTTTTCCTCTTAAAGCCAATTAAAAGAATTAGAAGAAATTAAGAGGGGCTGGTGAGATGGCTCAGTGGTCTAAAGCACCTACTTCGAACAAGCTTAGCAAAGCACAGGAACCACGGTTCAATCCCCCAGCACCACATGCCAGCCAGCCCCCTGGTGGGCTGAACTGGCCACACACACACACACACAAATAAATAAAAAATTAAAAAAAGAAATTAAGAGAACTGGGGGCTGGGGAGATAGCTCACTAAAATAAGTGCTTTTCTGGCAAGCACAGCGTCCTGCGTTCCATCCCCTGTACAGCAAAAAAAGAAAGAAAGCTGGGTGTGGTAACATTTTAGGAAGCTGAGGCAGAAGGGTGGAAAGATTAAGCCTAGCCTGGGAAATTTATGAGATCTTCTCTTGAAATTAAAAAAAAAAAAAAAAAAAAAAACCCAATAATAATAATAATAATAATAATAATAATGGGGACTACCCACTCGGGCCCCCCTCCCTCTCTCAGACCGGAGCTTTCTTTCCCTCAATAAATATATTCTGCTCAAAAAAATAAAAAAATAAAAAAGAAAGAGAAACTTTTAAAAAATAGGGGCCAGCAAGCAATGGCCGTGACTCATCCACATGGCTGCACTGACAAAGGTTCTACAATCTGAGGTACAGGATCTCAGGATAAATCCTGAGGGCATTTCACTGACCTTCTCAGACCAAAAAGCTACAACTCTTGTTGCATAGGTCCTGCTTTACCTTGGTCCTAACCATCCAGTAGAAAAGTATGAAGACAAAATATAGGAAATAAAGCCATGCTGTTAAGTTGAGCTGTGGGGGACTCAGGTCAATAATTTCTGACATTGCCAGTTAAACAGAAGACCCAATGCTATTATGGGCTACTGGACTCTTTTAGAATATTTTGCTGAGTTTACACACCTATAATATTCAATAATGGAACTTAGAAAAAATGGGGTATGCCTATGAATGTCCATTTTGTATCTGTGTATTCAAAGTGGTTGGGATAGATATATAGTTGCATTCTCTTAATGAATAGAATGATTTGTTCTAATGGTGTTTGTAAATAGAATCACAAGTCTGCATCTTGTACAGCAATTAACCACTAAGAAGAATATATGCAGTGTAATATTTGTTGAAACGGTACTTCCGATTTGATTTGAAACTGTCTCATTGCTATCTGTTTATCAATAAAACTTTGAAAAACAAAAACAAAAAAATAAAATAAAATAAAATAAAAAATAGGGGCCAGGAAGATGGCTCAGTGTAATAAGTGCTTCCCTGGCAAGCACAAGGGCCTGAGTTCAATCCCCGGTTCCGCCAAAAAAAAAAAAAAAGAAGAGGATTGTGAGTTTGAGGTCAGCCCGGGCTATCGTGAGTTAAAGGCCAGCCTGAACCACACAGCAAAACCCTTTAGCTCAGAGGCTTAAGCACCTGCTTCACAAGAGGAAGGTCCTGAGTTCTATTCCTGGTACCAAAGCAACAACAAAAACACGACCAAAAAAAAAAAAAAAAGACAAGCAACTAGACAAATTGAGGCCCGGTGAAACGCTTTGCAAATGTACACCTCTATGATTCCACCGTTTCTACCAAATGCTAGAATGCAAGATTGTAGCTTTCCGGGGCAAACTACAAGAAAGCCAAGCTGGAGTCCACAGTCCGGTGCCAGCACTCTGCCTCTCCTGCCAGGGGCGCGCACTCACCTCCAGGGGCACCAGGACAGCTGGCTTCTTCTTCAGCTCCTCGCACTTGCGCCTCTTGCAAATCTGGTGGCTGTGCTTTCGGTTCCTGCAGTACGTGCACTCGCCACAGTTGGCCTTCTGCTGGCAGGGCCCGCATACCCCGCAGCGCTTCCGCTTCTTCTTCTCCAGCACGGGTGCCAGGGCAGTGTGGGCCCCAGTCTCCTGACTGTGGCTCCGGGCAGCACGGGGACTGGCCGCGGGGAGCTGGACGGCCGCGGGGAGTCCGCGGGGAACCAGCTCCCCTGGCTCGGGGCGGCCAGCTGCTGTCCCTGGGAGCACTGGGCCAAAACCCGAGCCTGGGTAGGACCGAGGAGCGGGTCCTGCGCCCAAGGGCGAGAGCGGCGCAGCACCCCGGGCGCCGGGCCACCGCGGGGACACAGCACCAGCAGGAGCAGCCTCCGGGAGCAGGGACGCGAAGGAGGCCTGGCCACGGGCTTCTCTTGAGGGGAGGACGACACCAGAAGCCTCTCTTTGGACTGGAGCACCACCGGCAGTCACCGCCGGAACTGGGTCAGCACCGCGGGTTTCCCAGTGGCTGGAGAGCGGCCTCAAGGCCGAATCAGCTCCCTGTCGAGCTGGGGCGGCCGGGAGGGCCTCCGGGGCATCGGGCTGAGCATGCAGGGCTGGAGGAGCAGGGCCGACTGCCAGAAGCTTGACCAGGGCAGAGGGGGAGACGGGCAGGGCGCGCCTGACATCTGGTTCGGGGTTCTGTGCACTCACGTCAGGATCCCGGCCGATGTCAAACAGCCTCAGAGACTGCACCCGTGAGCCCAGGTCCTCCAGCTGGGCCTTAGGGTCCCTGTGGGAGGGAACAGCGGCGAGCCCTCCTCCAGACCAGGGTGCACGCGGGGCTTCACTGCCCGGCTGCTCCCAGAGGAGTCCCTTCTTGCAATGTGGCCATTCTGGGGGTCCAGACGGGATCTCAGCCGCCACGGCACCAGGCGTGGGTCCCCCGGTGCTGAGCTCCTCGGCTGCGTGAGGCCCAGGCTGGGTGGGCTCCAGGCTCGTGCCTTCAACTACAGACATAGTCTGCACACCTCTCGGACTGTCTGCATCAAGGGGGGTCAGGGGGGCCGGGTCTGGGACAGGGCCATTCTCCGAGTGCTTGACTCCGGTGTTAGTGAGGACCTTACACTCACGGTGCTTCGCTGAGCTCTTGGACGGTGGGGTTTTCCTGGATTTGGTGGTGACCACCGGTGGCTGGGAGAGCCGCCCGCTGCGGAGAGCCATGGTGAAGCCATTGCAAGCGAGGGACACTGGGTTCTGGACCAGAAGCTCCGAGCGAGACAGATTTAGGCGGGCAGCTCCAGCCCGGGTCAGAAGGCTTCTGGCTGGCACAAGAGGTTTGGGGTCTGTTCTTTTCTTACCATCTCTTTCCTGAATAAATTGTTTTAGCTTCCCAGGGCTTGCAGGCTTGACCAATGTCACATTTTTGTTCGGTGGTGGCTTGTTGGTCTTCTTCACTCGGTTGTTTCTCTTTTTGTTTATATCTTCCTTTCTGACTAACCTGGAAGGTCTTGTGTGGCGAGATCGAGACATAGCTATAAAGTAAGAAGAACTCCAATGGCACAGGAAACATTGGTCCTTTGGGAAGTCTCACTTTGGAGGAGAATCTGGATGAATCTTCATGCCCTGTCACACAAGGTCTCGATCTGAAATAACAAAAACATGGGAAGTCTTTCTTATGCAGTTTTGTGTTTAAAAAAGACTATTGGGGCAGGGGAGATGGCTCAATGGAATAAGCGTTTGCCTGGCAAGTGCAAAGATCTGAGTTCAATCCCCGATTCCATGGAAAAAAAAAAAAAAAAAAAAGAATATTTACTACTGAATAAAATAAGCAAACTCAGAACATGTACTGCAAAAGAAAAATATGTTAAGACACAAAATAGGAATTTCCTTATCTCTCTCTCTTTTTTTTTTTTTTTGGTGGAACCAGGGATCGAACTCAGACCCTTGCACTTGCCAGGGAAGCACTTATTCTACTGAGCCACCTCTTTCTTTAAACAAATTCTCCCAGAGAGTTGGGATGACAGGCCTGTGGTACCATGCCAAGCTAAAGAATTTTTTAAACGTTGGATTCACAACATTTCCTTAACTACTACCACAACAAACTCAGTTGATAAAGTTCTTGGAATAAAGTATGATAGTGTTTCTCTATGCTACATACAGCATCTGTAGTTACATGTATTTTATTTTTGTCTTTTTGAGACAGGGTCTTGCTATGAAGTTCAGGCTGGCCTTGAGCTCACTTGTAGCCCAGGCTGGTCTCGAACTCAACAGTTCTCCTGCCTCAGCCTCTGGAGTGCTAGGATTATAGGCAAGCACCACCACAACTAGCCACATGTATTTCAAAACTTAAATGTGAGTCTTTAGATACTGTGACCATTAATCCTCATGTCAGCATCACTGGATGAAGAAAGAGCTTCGGACCAGAAGAACATGCTCCTGAGTGTGTCAGCCTAGCTCACACAGGTGCAGCCTTGGGTACTGCGTATGGTGATATTCCCTCTTCTGCTTCCTGGCCACCGTGAACTAAGCAGCTTTGTTCAGCCATACCCTTCTGCCCTGAATTTCCTGTGTTAGAGCCAGCAGACCATGGATTGAATCCCCTCAAATCAGGAACAAATTAAGCCTCTCCTCTCAAGGTTGCAGTATTGGGCATTGTCTTTCTTAAAAATCGTCTCTTACTCTTTTTTCCTAAATATGACCCAACACAGGCTAAGTAGTGTGTGTTTGACAACAAAGCTGGTTTTCCTTAACTTTGGGGCTGGAGGGATGTCTCAGTGGAATAAGCACTTCCCTGGCAAGCGCAAGGGCCTGAGTTCAATCCCTGGTTCTGCAAAGCTGGTAAACCCAGAGGAGGGAATTTATTTACCCCAAGAAACTGTAGTCCCATGGGCCAGGGAGAAAGCCCAGTAGAAAAAGTGCTTGCTGACAAGCACAAGGTCCTGAGTTCAATCCCCAGCACCACAAAAACAAACAAAGGGGCCAGGGAGATGGCTCAGTGGAATAAGCGCTTCCCTGGCAAGTGCAAGGGCCTGAGTTTGATCCCCGGTTCCACAAAAAAAAAAAAAAAAAAAAAAGGAAACTGTAGTCCCTGTTTCTATGGATCTGAGCTATACCCCCTAGTCTTTGACATAGGATTTCACTAAACTACCCAGGCTGGGCTCAAACTTTCAATCCTCAGCCTCCACAATGCTGGGATTATGGGTTTTGGACTACCTACCATACCTGACTCTACTATCCAGTATTAACTCTAGATTCCAATTAATGTCCAAAGTTGAGCTTTTCACGTCAAGATAGCAAGACTCTGTGCGTGTGTGTGTGTGTGTATGTGTGTGTTGTGTGTGTGTGTGTGTGTGTGTGTGTGTGTGTGTGTGTTTTAAGATAGGTTTTCAATATGTAGATTCAGGCAGGCCTTAATTGTCTTGGTTACTTTTCTGTCCTTCCTGAGACAAAATACCTGACATCCAGAATTAAGGAAAGGCTTATTTAGCTCACAGTTTGTATAGGTTTCAGTCCATACTTGGAAGGCAGGGTGGCACATGGCAGAGGGCAGCAGAAAACAGCAAAAGCAAAAAGGAAGGAGACGCAGCAGCAGCAGAGACACAGGCAAGCCTCTCTACTTAAGTTGCATCCAGGCTATCTGTCCCAGGCCAGATGTGGCACCAACATCCATAATCCCAGCACTGGAGCATGAATTCATCACAAACCCTAGAAGCCCACCCTAGTAACTACGTGAGCCTTTGGGGGACATCTAGACACAAACCACAACAGCAGCCCAGGCTGGCCTTTAAACCTAAGCAATCCTGTCTTAAGCTCCAGAATGCTGTCATTAAAGGCACGTGCCACCATGCTCAGCTCACAAAACCCTAATTACCCCTGCTCCACTGGTGAAATGTAGCCTTTTGTGATAAACAAAGGTGTCATAGTATTGGAGATTGAACCCAAAGAACTTTTATATTGAGCTACAACTCCAATCCCTTTGTTTTGTGTTTGTTTGTTTGTTTGTTTGGGGACAGGGTTTCACTAAGTCACTAAGTCGTCCAGGCTGGAATCGAACTAACAGTCCTCCTGCCTTATTCTCCCACTGTTCATTACTGATGTGTCTCACCCTACCCAACTGATAATGTAGTTCATTTTATTAAACAAGTCCATAATAGAATATGAATTTATCCTCAAAGATCTCAGAAACTAATTTTCCTCTACAATATACAAATATTAATAAATGTACCATTTTTGCAATTTATGTATTATAAAAAGATACTGGGCTTAGGCTGTAGGTCAGTGGTAGAGCAAGAGCCCCAGCACCAAAGAAAGTAAAGGTGTATTTTCCAATGAACACTCAGATTCTACTAGCCAGGCGAATGAAAATTGAGCTCTAACAGAGAATTCTGTCTACTCTCCCTAGTTCCACTCTTCCATTTATTTCCTTTCTAACTAAAACTGATGTTTTGGTCCTTCTCAAAATAAGTTTTAAGGGGCCGGGGAGATGGCTTAGTAGAATAAGTGCTTCCCTGGCAAGTGTAAGGGCCTGAGTTCAATCCCTGGTTCTGCCAAAAAAAAAAAAAAAAAAAGTTTTAAGCTGGGTTTAGTGGTGCATGCCTGTAATCCTAGCACTTGGGAGGCTGAGGCAGGAGAATCATTTCAAGTTTGACCAGCCTGGGCTACAAAGTGAGCTCAAGGCCAGCCTGAACTACATACACAGTGAGACCCAGTTTACATAGGGCCCAGGAAGGGGAACTATATGCAATTCATGGACAGGAACCTAAATTCCTATTGTCCTAAAAGGGAAAAACAAAAACAAAAACAAAAACCTCTGGAATGCAAAACATAACACATTGATTAGATATTTTCACCAGAAACCAAGGACCAAGGCCCCAAACCAACAGATTTTTGTGATATATAGGACTAGAGTATATGTGGGGCAGTAGATAGACAAAATTCTGGGCTGGCAAGATAGCTCAGTGGACTAAGTGCCAGCACAGACAAGCACAGGCTCTGGCAATCAATCCTGCCAGCCTACCCCCAAGCCCGATGAGCCGGCCGCAAAGAACCAGAGTGGTGGCAAATGCCTATAATCCCAGCACTGGGAAGGCTGAAAACAAGAGGATCACTAGAGTTAAAGCTGCATAGTAAGACCCTGTACTAAATACATTAAAACCTTCTATTAAGATGCAAAAAGACACAGCACCTCCAGCATGTAGGCACACGCCTGTGAACCCAGCACTTGGAAGTTGAGACAGGAAGTTCTCTGGGAGTTTGAGGCCAGCCTGGGCTACATGGCGATATCGTTACTCCTACAAGCAAACGACAAGGACAAACTAGCCCAAAGTTTAGAATAAAGGACAAATAGAACTAAGTGGAGAAATAGTAAGAACTTTGGTAGGTGATTGCTGTGAACCATGGTATATGCAAGGGCATAGTAGTTATTCAAACACAATCAAATCAGTCAAATATTATGTGAACTTACTAAGTGATCAGCCTTTCCCTAAGAAGAAACTTTCTTTAAAAAAAAAACAAAAGGGGCTGGTGAGATGGCTCAGTGGTCTAAAGCACCTACTTGGAACAAGCTTAGCAAAGCACAGGAACTGCAGTTCAATCCCCCAGCACCACATGCCAGCCAGCCCGCTTAGCAAAGCACACAGACCGCGGTTCAATCCCCCAGCACCACATGCCAGCCAGCCCCGCCCCCTGGTGGGCTGAGCTGGCCACACACAAACACACATAAATAAATAAATATTTTTTTAAAAAAATTATTAGGGGCCGGGGAGATGGCTCAGCAGAATAAGCGCTTCCCTGGCAAGTGCAAGGGCCTGAGTTCAATCCTCATTGGGGGGGGGAGGGATTAAGATATTCAAGGGCCAGGGAGATACCTCAGTAGTATAAATGTCTATCTGGCAAGCACAAGGTTCTGAGTTCAATCCCCGGTTCCATCAAAAAAAAAAAAAAAGACCAAGCTCAGCTTGTGGTAGTTTTACCCCATTTATGTAAGGCTCAGGGTTCAATCCCCAGTACCAAAGTAAGCAATAAAAATTAAAAATAATCTTACCTATAATGAAAGGCTGGCTTCCTAAACTTTATCAGTGGTCTACACCCCTCTGCTTTCTAGATGTTCTAAACTCCCCGGGGTAGGAAGTAGCTGAACTGATATAACCCATTCAAGGCTACCTGTCAATTAGACTGCAGTCCCACCTGTTCCTCCTCCTGCCAGTGGCAGAAAATGCTGGTATCTGCATAGGGAGCTGGTTGAAAGAGCCTCAGATTTCACAATCCCTCCATTAGGCTCCGTGGAACTTAGATGCTCTTGCACTTGACAGAGAAAAACAGGACTTAAGCTGTTTCTTTTTAAAGCACCACCTAGCTCAGTTTCCTCCAGCCACTAAGGGTGAGACCAGGGACTGCTTACAGTTCCTAGACAGTTTCTAGGACAGGAAGTCCAAGCACTGGGAAAGGCTGTTGGGTAAAATGCCAGATTAGTGAAAGGCTCCTTCCATATGTAAAACATTGGCTCCCTGCTGAGGGAGTGGGGTGGAAAA